TTTTATTTGTTATGAAAAAAATAGATAATATAAATAATATAAACTCTTGTATCATTTATTGACGAATCCTCTCCACAACGGTATGTGAATTAGCAAAGAACAATGCTCGCATATTATTTGTTGAAATTATTTGTTTACAATTGTATGGTATATTTTTAATATAATATCATCAGTAAAAATTTTTTGACTGTGGAGTTACTCAGTATCCATATAGCACCGAAAGTTTCCAGAAATATCTCAGAACATTTCAACTGAAAAGTGAGATATTTGATAAAAATTATGAAATATATGTTTGCAATATTTCTGAGACAGTTCTGGAAAAGAAAAAATATCCGCAATTCTTGAAACCTTGAAAAGTTGATGAAACGTTATAAAAAAAATTTGTAATCTCTCTTTTTGAAATATTACCAAAAAGTTTCAGTTATTTCTAGTACAAAAATGATATTTAAATATACTTGATTGATACTTAAATTTTTTTTAACTCCATTATTCTTAATCTGTCACATCTAAAAACATTCAGTAATTTTTATGTACAATTTAAAATAAAGCCCCCCCCCCTAAAGGGTAAGAGCTCAGTGAATTTCCCATTTAATATAAGGAAGCTACGCTAAGTTCTGAGATTGTGCGCTTAAGCCTTCGTAGATAATCCGGATTATTCATTAGAGTTGCTACATGATTTGGATCTTGTTGTCTTGTGCAGCTGATTTTTTCCTCGAAATAAGTGTACCAAGATTCCTGTACAAGATTTTATTAGAAGCAAGCCAGAGTGCATCTGCTGGCTCGGAGGATTTTCGACTGGATATTCAAATAATATTTAAATTTATTATGTCGACATGTCGACGGTATTTAAGAGTATCAATTAAACATATATTTAAATATCATTTTTTTAAATACTTAAAAATTTTTAAGGACTTATACTTTTCTCGGCGGGAAAAATAGTTCATTTTCAAATAGTTTCTTTTTTTTTTTAAGAAAGAAAAGGCACATTATTAATCAGATTTTTTTTATGTTAAAGAACATATTTTAGACTTATAAATCAAATTTTAATGAGGTAAAATAATCCTTTGTTCCACGAAGTTGACTGTGCTCGACGGGACATAATCGTGGTACCATGAGCGGTCTTTGGCTGCTCATCTGAAATAAAAAATTGCATCTTGAAATTTATTAAATTTACTTATAGTATTTGATTAAAGCTTTTTTAAATTTTGAATTTAAAACAAAATGGAGGACATTCAAACTCAAGGTATCATTTTTCACATATATCATTTCTTAAATGTGTAAACAGAACATAAAAAATTAAGATATAAAAAAATCATATACTACAAAATAGATTCTACAGAATTTTATAAATTTTCAGTCAAAAAAAAGAGAAGGAATCCGTTATCCGCGTAATAGTTATCGAGATATTTATGGTATCGACTTTATTGCGTAGAGCTCTAAATAGATGTGCGCGTCAATGCGAAATCGTGGTTGGATCAAATTAATCGTTCACACGCACGCATACACGTGTACGTCATGAGAGTCGGTATTTCTAGGAATAGAAAACGCGGTGTCGGAGGTCAGAACGATGATCGGCACGTATGATCGTTAATTCATTTGTCCGAAACGCCACCGCCGCTAACCATGGTCTCCATGTTTTCGGAAACACCAGTCAGGAGAAAGATCGAGGGTCCATGGAGGATCGTGGCGACGTAAAGATATTCATTCGATCACGAACTGAGCAAGTGTGGATATGAATTCGCATATGAATTCAGAGCGAGTCTAAGTACAGAACGTTTTGCGTGATCGCGCGACTCAGGATTTCTCCTAGGCGTCGTCGCGAATGTAGTCCGGCCACGAGTTATACGTAGTGACTCAGGGTGACTCGACAGGGGATGCTATAGGAAAATATGGTACAGACGTTTCGACCCCAGTATTAAGTCTTCCTCAGTATATAAAATATAATGAAGTTTGTTATTAAAACATCAATATTTTTAATATATGCATTGGATTACACACGAAGAATTGATGTTGACTATTTGCATTTCCTTCTACATATTTATTCTATAGTTTATTTAGAGACTCTTTTTGTTATTATTTTAATTATTGTTTTATTTTTTATATACAATCAATACATCATATACTGTCATCTTGACAAAGACTATTTTTAGATAAATGTCGAGCAATATTTATGGATTCAGCAATATTTATGGATATTTATGGATTCAGCCCCTATACCGAAACAGCACAGAGAATCTAAAGATTCTTTTTTAATTATGAACAATTTTCTTTCCTTTCGTTCCATTTCTGATATCAAAATCGTTTATATTATAAGGATGCTAATCAATTATTAGAGGAATATTATCGATATCGCCACATCTTGTTTTTTAGACAATCTTCTTTTTAGACAATATTTCTTGAACAAAAAAGTAAAAATAAAACTTTAAAAACAAGTACAAACTAAAAAAATGTATTCCATCAGACATAAGCGATTTTTATAATAATCTCTTTGCAATTTTGTAATGATTAATTTTTTTATTAGGTAAGCAAAAATAACCGTCTGACAAAATGGGATCCAAAACTGACACAGTAGGCAGTAATACTATGTATTTTCCTAGACTTTTTTTTCTTTTACAGGAATATCTGAATAAAATACCTACAAGTGAATGTATACAAGATATTCTTTTCACTTCATTATAAAACATTTTCATTAAATTATGTGCATATTTACTCCCCTATTAAAGAAAATCACAACGTTATATGATGTAAATAAATTAAAACATGTAAATCACATAACGAATTGTTGCAAATCAGTACGTGATTTTTTTTTTAAATGACGTTTTGAAAAATTACATGATATTAGAAATAATTTTTTTCCATTATGTGATTTTATAGTTGTCAAATTTAAAAAAATTGAATGATAGAAATGAAAGAAAAAAGAACATATCATTATGCGATTTTTTAAATTACACAATTTTAAAAAATCTGCCATGTACGATTTATATGTTTTAATTACATGATTTCATAATGCTACTGTGTGACATGATTTTTTTTCGTAAAGTTTACGCTGTTCTGCAAAATGCAAATATATAACGCGATAATTTTTTAAGAATTTTTCCATATATGCACTATTGTTTGCAGCTTCAATAAAGCCATTTAATACTCTAAAGTAATTATAAAGATTAAGTTAGCTCATGATCTGTTTTACAGACAGGTGTGGCGATTTACGCTGCACACCAATTTTAAATTTAAAATCGTATTATGAAAAAATTAAGAGAAAAAATAATATAAGAAACGATTTAGGAAATTACAAACATTTAAAATGATATAATATAATCAATAATAGTCACTATTATTTTAATTATGCAATTTGCAGAAGAAAATGATAAGAATTTTATTTTTGTATTCGTAGAATTCGTTTTTAGCTGATTTGATATAGAAACAAGCCAAATATACGAATTATTTATATCTCTTAATTAACTAAAGAGATCATTATTTTATTAATATTAATAAAATACAGTATTTATACTAAAATACGTATAGTTAGTTTCTGAGAAACAAGGGGTTATTATTTTAAAAGATCTGCATCAGTATCGATGACTTTCTTGTACATTTAAGATTGGCTTAAGTATAATCCGTGATTGGCCGTGATGATATCTTACAATATCATAAGAGAATCACTATCAGAATCATAGAACTATAACACAAAAATTCATAAAATATTTTATTAGTTTTTCATTAAGATGTTTAATATTAGATTGATCTATATTCAAGATATCGTTGATATTCAAATGATGCAGTGCATGTGGCACGATGGTGGGGCTCCGCCGAAGAAGTTGTCGCGAGCGGATGTTTTGTTGTCCACTATATATATAAATCCTCTAACTTCTCTCTATATAAACTAGTCTTGTCTCGGTCGTCGAATCTCGCTGATCAATATCAATCTGCATTACACAAATGGGGAATATTCTCTAATAAAACTCTAAAACGTTACTAACACTACTCACTAACGCTTGCACGAACGAAGTTAATAAATAACGCATTTTTAATATATTATCATTTATCGAAGTAATCTTCTTTATCTCGACGAAGAAAATAATTCTAGATCTGTGCATTAATGGAATTCTTTACATGAGCAAAAAAATCTTTACTTCATACTACTGTATTTCTGAAATTGATCACTTCATGGTCGATGTCGATATAGACCAGTTTGCATTAACGGGGAAATAAAAATGGTTGTAATTTTTGGATTAAAAAACATGCATTATATCGCATTTATTTCGTATGTCTGTCATTTCGCCACGTTATTCTGCGTTTCTGCACAATTTCGCGGTTCGAACGAGACCAATATTATTCAGTTATTACCCGCCTATGCCATCGCGTCGAGAGCTAGTCTTCTCGGTTTGGCAACATGTGCAACGGAATTACGAGAATTACTGGATGCTGTCGATCAACGGATACTGTGGGGTTTAAAAAGTAAGTAAAATCTTTAAAAAGTAAGTAAATTCATTCTTAATCATGATTAATTTTTGATACTCGAATCGATAAAGTAAATGCAAAATTAAAAAAGTCAATCACATGAAGAACATTCTCGTATTAACTTCATGTTGAGTTGTTTCATTGTACCATTAGAGAATTAACTCCGAAACCGATCATGTTGCTTAATTTTATCTTTGTTTATAAAATAAATAAATCAGAGGATTGTCAGTAATCATATTACCAAATAGCACATGGACATCCATTGTACGTTCAATGGACTTCCGATTCTGAATATTGGGATGTCCACAGGAAGTCCAAATTATGTCCTTTGGATGTCTTATAGATGTCCATAGAATGTACATTTGCAACAACTTTGTATGTCCATAAAATATCTAATTTTGAATCTATTATGGACGTGTTATATACTGATTTTGGACATCTTTTGTTTAAAAAGATCTTGTTGCCATAGTAATTAATAATTAAATAAAAAGTATACAATAGTACTATATAAAAGTACTATATAAAAGTACTGTATGATAATAATAATAAGTATTTATTGGAATATGCTATCATCTAATATAAATATATCCTCCGACTGTATCAGATTAATTTTCTCCGCTTTCGCCAAAGTTGGTCCAGTAAGAGAGCCAAGCGTATTGGGCAAACTAATGCATTGCATATATTATTATATATATTTTAATAGAAAAACATTGTAAAAGTAAAATCTAAATAAGGACATCTATTAAATGTTTCGAATATCCGTATAACCTCGGTAAAAAATTTTTTATGCATATGTATAAATATGTACAGAGAAAAATATTTATAAACATATGTAATCATATATGATATATGTCCATATATATTCATATATTCTTCTTTTTATAAAATTACTTTTTAGTGAAATAGAAATAATAGTAATGTAACAATATAAAAATAATTGAAGTAATAATTTTTGCATTGTTTGTTTTAGAAAAAAACAAGTTTGAAAAAATGTAAAAAGATTGCTCATACATAATTAAGCATAATTTTATGTATAATTATACATGTTTATAAATATTTATTATGTACAAATAGAATTCCTATATTTGGCATAACGAATCTGTGGAGAATGAGGATTAGTAATACAATACATTGAAAACATAACAATATAATTAATTTCTTTGCATAATTTGTTTTCTAATCAGTCATTTGGCTTTGTAATGAAGACAAATTACGGCTATTCCTAACAAGAATGTAGGGAAATGTTCATCCTCAGTCTTACATAGATTTGAAATATTTCAACATTTCCACAAGATTATTGTCAAGATAATTACAATAATATTTATGGATTCGCTGAAGAAAACTAAAACGTTCGAATAAGATGATACTGACAATTATTGTACATTTATATTTATATTTTATGTAGACATTATTGATCAATTATATCAAAATTTGCGCAACAATTTCCGCGCTGTATTAATAATCTCTAATAATCTGATATATTTGATTATTTTTGTAACATATAGCTATATGTACAATGATCACGAGTTGACGTTGTGCATCGGACAAACACCATGTGTCATACGCATTATACAATCGATTCTCACGTAATAAATATAGAAATGAATTCAAAAATCAAAAGATCGAATTTAAATATGCGCGATATATCTGTAGTTTGGAAAACATTACAGACAAGAGTGCACATTTTCTTGTGTACAATTAATCAAATAGATATATTTCTATATGTACACATGAGTTTTGAACATTTTTTAACACTATTTATATTAACACGTTTATATTAAGAAGTGATCTGAATAAAAGTTAGTAATAAATCATGAAATAGAAAGATTAAAAATTATTCTTTGTACTATTACTTTAGTCACAAAAATATTTATTACTTGTTACAAAAATTATTATTTTTTATTATATTTCTTCAAATTTTGTTTCTAAAGCATAATAATAATACGCAAAATAATGTTGAAATTATGTAACTATGTTTTGTAATAATCATTGAAACTATATTGAATCAAACCGAGACAACGTAAAATTAATAAAATAAAAAAACTAAATGATGCGAGATATCTAACAACGTTTTCAATCCAAGCGAGTTTACACCGATTTGGATTAGATAATATTCCTCTTGATTGACGTTAGGAGAGCATACAATGTTATTAATCCAACTCAGGTTGATGCACATTCGCTCGGGCCGAATACGTTATAAGACGTTATTTTGTAATTAATAGTGATTCTGTCTTTAGCAATTAATAAATAATGAACTGATTAAATAGCAATGAATACGAAACACTTTATACTAGAATGTTGTTACATAGATATAATAACAATTGTGTATTTTTGTCTTCAAGCATTAGATTCTAGTGGCGAATTCAAACCAGGTTTCCTTTATGGAAATGATTTTTGGCTGGGCAGTCGAAGTCAATGCCTCGATATAATGAACAGGACTCCCTTCGAGTTCGCAAAACGAATCACATTAAATAACACGCGATATCGCGATCCGCAGGATGAGTTTCCACCTTTTCAACTAAATTATTTCGTTGCTTATATCAGACACAACAGTACTATTCAGTATCACATCAATATATTAACTGAAGTAAGTCCTTTTTTCTTGAGATTATCTAGACTATTTAGAGTATACAATATTTTTATTTTAATCAAGGATTTTTATTAAAGATTTTAAATTTTGATTTCAAGTCCAATTTTTTTACAATATACATCAGACAATCCTAAATCGAACATTTCATGCATCATTCTATATTATGATCTAAATAAATCTTATATATATGAGAAAGAATGTATTAAATTTTATTAATTATTCATTTGAATAATACTAATTTAACTTTTATTTATGATAAATATTTAAATGAATATACAATAACAAATAAAAAAATGATAAATCAAATTAATGATTCTTGTTTTAAAAAAATAAACGTTTATTATTTAGTAAATAATTAATACTGTTCAAACAGATATTTATTAAAATTTAGTACATTTTTTCGCAGTGCACTTTAAAATCAATGTGAAATTAAAATAATTTTGTCGCTAATATTTAGTGTTTAAATCATGTGCCATATGTAATATCATAAATCGTGAAAAGAGAAAAAAGTTATTGATCTTCTACATTAGTCATAAATTAGAAGTCAGACGCTAAAAATTGACGACTGTGATTCAATTTACATATTAAATATGTAAATTATATATCTGAAATGTATATCTAATGATGCAAATACGCATTCAATATGTTCTATGTACGTTTTATATTCTATATACAAAAAATCAGATATGCATTAATTGTACAGTAATTACATTCACGTGCTGATGTAAAGATATTTAAATTTATGTTTAAAATAAAAACTTATCTTTGATGAACTATTTAATTTAAATTATTTGTTACTATTTAACTTAAATTTATTTCACACAGAAATGTTTCGAACAGCAAATAGCTAAAAATCCGACTTTGACTGAAGTAAGCCTTTATTTCTTGACTGTTGTGTATTCATATCGCAATCTTGTTAAATTTGTTTATTCTTAGATTCATATAATAACCGCACACATTGCAGAAACTTGCTTAAAACCGTCCAGTTATGATTTTTTAAATGTTATGTAGTGCTACGTCATCTTATGATATATTACATTCTGTTAAATATGTATTAATTACATGTTTGTTATATATTTATGTATTTAAATATGCACGCTACAATGTATCTACTACATATTACATATGTATTACATACGTATTTTGACTTGGATATTTCACATTCATGCTTTAATTACTTATTTAATACATTATATTTAACATTATATAAAATGAAATAAAATGTAAATGTAACATAGATACACATTTAATATATATTTGCAACAAAAGGCGCTGTGCTAGTATTTAGTAAATAATTAATACTATTCAAATAAATATTTATTAAAATTTAGTACATTTTTTCTTAGTGCATTTTAAAATCAATGTGAACAAATTAAAATAATTTTGTCCCTATTATTTATTGCAAATGAGCTTAAATATATTAAATTTAGTCTTTAGGTCATATGGCATGTGTAATGGTATAAATCGTAAAAAGAAAAAGTTAGACTAAAATTGACATATCATATGGCACTTACGTGATATCTTTAATGGATGAATATTCAAATTTTTCAATGTGAAATTATGAAAAACATGTAAAAATACTAATAAGCAAATATAAAGTATCGGAACTGAAGATAGCACAGAAGGATTTCTGTTTATGTATACGTTGCATGAATATAATATTAAAACATTGAAATTATTGTAGTTACGTTGCGTAAAGTGTCTGAGAAGACTGCAAGGTTGCGGCAATGTAAAAATGTTTACTTTAGTCAACAAGAAACGTTTCTGAAATAAATTACGGAAACATTTATAAAATCTATCGATGATATTGATGTAACGTCCTCTTTAGTTTTATCTGCAACATTGTACAAATGTAAGAAAAATGAATATGTGCGAGCAGGGCTAGGCAACTACACCATTAACCTTCAGGCGGCCGGGATGACCATATGGTGCCATCAATTTTGATTGTATAAAATGTATTTAAATATAATATATATGGAATTATATCGTATATTATCTGCATATGATATACATATGGTATACCAGAGTTAGCCGGTTAGGGCCGGCACGTACATATTCATAAAATAGTAAATCGAAAATGTTAATAGCAAAATCTTAAGGCATCAATAATTTTCAACCGGTGAGCATTTGAAAATAACAAACCACAAGGCATGAAATTCGCGCCGTCAAGAGCCGCGCATCTGAGGGGTCGGCCGCGTGAACACTTTGACGAACGTATCGCTCGTCGTAACGAATGGTGTCAAACGAGTATTACAAAGTTTCGTGAAATTTCTATATTATCTACTGCCATATTCTTAAATTTAAGTCCAATTTAATTCATGAGAAGTAATATCAATTGCAAATTCGATAAATAAATTAATTTATAAATAAAATTAATATTAAATAAATGATCCAAACAAATAAAAACATCACTTGACAGATATTTATAACTTATTACTTATTAACTTCGATTTCTTTACTATATTGAGCGAATTTCATGCTCTATGGTTGGTTATTTTCAAATGTTCACCGAAAACTTCTAATGCCTTAAAATTTTGCTATTAACATTTTTTATTTACTTTTTCATAATACGTGCCAGCTCTTGCGCTAATTCTAATACACCTTGTGTATATATATATATGTATAAGATAGGTCCGAGCCATATTGGAGGTGGAGAATGGATCAAAAGGAACAAAAAATTCTTATACTATTTTAAGATACTCGCTATAGTTTTCGAATTAGAAAAGGAAATGTCTAAGCCAATATGCGATTAAGCCGCGCCGCGCGAGTTCGTAGGACGGCTTATTCGAACGGCGGCGGCGGCGGCGACGGCGCGCAGGGAGAAGGAAGTAGCGCTTCATTGCCTAGCACAGCCTGGCATGGCGGTTCTATGTGTTTCACCGCATCGCGCCTACATTATCCAAAAATATTATTTTAGCTGAAGTTTTTCTTATACATTTCTTATCATTATAAATCGCGTTATTTAGCACGATTAAATACTTTTATTATAAAAAATTATTTATTATCTATTATAAAAAAGTTTTTTTTTTATTATAATTCTAAAGTACTTTTGAAGCCATTCTATTTTCATTCTTGAAAATTTTTTTCTATCTCTTATAGTTCCAGCGACATTCGCTTCGAAAGAGAAACATCGATTTTTCCATGATATTCACTACAAAAGAGAAAAATCAATTTTTTTCCAAGGAGTGTTTCACCCTTTAAAAATGCGTATGGAAAATACATATTAAAAAAATACGCTTATTTTTGTCTAGAGAATAACATACTGCTTATCAAAATCGGAGAAGAGCAGTTGGGTTCCTTTCCTTGTAAGTTACAGATTTTTTTAATGTAATGAACATGGGCCTTAAATTTGATGGATAGTTTAATGAAAATAAACTAAAACACTCAATTTTCAATATAATTAGTGTTTTTCAATACATTTAAGTTTTCAGTTACTATAAACTTAAACATCTCATTAACGTATACATAAATAATCTTTTTAGTGACAGAAAATTTAAATGTTATTCATCAGAACATTAAAGATTAATAAAATTTAAGAACGTTTCTAATGATGTACAATTAAACTTGTTAAACGGTAAGAAACATGTGAAAAAACCTCAGTCAAATTGTACATGGAATAATATATCTGGATTTACAATGTAGCGACTATCTACGCGAGCTTATACTATAATTTCAGTCTACATGCATTAACATTTCAAAAAATAAAACTCCGACTAAATATAGCATAAAATGACGCGACGAAGTATGTCTCGAAGCGTAATTAAATAGAAACATCGTATAATAAAGCAAATGGAAAGATATCGCGACGATCAGCATTACGCTTTGCGTAATGCTCTAATTAATTACATCGCTTAACATATTTATAATTGTGTTAAAACGTATTTAATCGTGTTAAATAACGCGATTTATAATGATAAGAAATGTATAAGGAAAACTTCAGCTAAAATACAATAACATTTTTGGATAGACGCGATGTAGCGACACATAGAACATGCCAGGCTGTGCTAGGCAACGAAGCGCTACTTCTCTCTCTCTGCGCCCCGCCGCCGCCATAGCTCGAGTGGGCCTCCTACGAATTCACGCGGCGCGGCTTAATCGCATATCGCTTAGACATTTTCTTTTCTAATTCGAAAACTAGAGCGAGTATCTCAAAATAATATAAGAATTTTTTGTTCCCTTTGATTCACCTCCAATGTGGCTCGGACCCATTTTATAAGACACCCTGTATATATATATATATATATATATATA